GTTGCCTACTGGTGGTGGTCAGAGGGCCCGGTGGCGCCAGTGTCCGGCAGCCTCGCCTCTGTCAGTGCGCCCCAGGGTGGCTGTGGCTACAATGTAGCTGCCATCACCAGTAATTCAAGTTTCCACGAAGACTTTTTAACAGCAGGACTCAGACCAAACCAGCACGACAGTGTAATCAGTCTGCAGTGGTACCATGAGCTCACTTTTGAGAGTCTTAGCCACCTGCATTCCAGTCAGAGCAGCACCGAGCCCGAGAAGACAACTTCGTTTGAGATGACGGAGACACGGGATCTGGCCATCACAGGTGAAGTGTGAATATTTCCATGGAAACCTGTGATCCTCAGATAAGTTACAGATTCATTAGTTTTTTCTGATGTGTCACAGAACACATGCACCTCAAAAGTGAGAGTTGGTAAGGTAGGTCCCGTCGGCTCCTTCTTCTACTCTGTTCAAGTGGCAAGAAGGGTACTGTGAGAGGTTCGTCCCAGCTAGTGTGGCCACACTGGTGTGGTGTAGAAGACTGGGCAATGGTTATGACCCAAGGTATCATTGGGACAATCACTGCGTGGCCCAAGCATTGACTTTCATCACTGGCTTGATTAAAGAGTCAGCAGGAGCTAATGTGGTGGTAGGCAGGTGGGACACCACTTCAGGAACATTACTGGCTCACTGTTATACCTCAAATCCTCCAGAATCCAGAAGTTCTCTCCATTTGTCCAGGAGTTGTTTACTTTGATGCAGAGTCAGAAGAGACTGGAGACAGTTGTCCACATAAAAGGCAGGATGGACAAACTCATACACATCTTCACTCCCCTTTCAGTGGTCCGGGACCCGTCGCTGTGAGGAATAAGTGTCGCAGCAAGGGTTGCCGGTGGTCCCAAATGGCAGTTTGGTGACTTACAAGTGCCATTTATTGTACAGACCAGGCGGTCACTCCTGCTGTCTATCCCTCCACAGGAAGTTGAGCAAAGGTCTTCACCTTACACCTAGGAATGAAGGCTAAGTGTGCTGCCTGGTAGTAGGAGGCCATTTAGGGGAGTCAGGTTTGAAACAACTTCTACTAGTCTACCACTCGATACTGGTTAGCACTCTAACTAAACTGGAAAGATTTAAAGTAAATCTGGGATGAAATACGGCGGAGAAGCTAACCCTAGAAGCTAATGGTATAATGAGTCAAGTGGGCTCACTGCCCCCTGAGTCGGCTGCACCAACCCACCACGCCATGCTCTTTGACCTGGTAAGTAGTCCTGTGACGACACATCGTTTATTCAGCTCTTTGGTCTGATGCAGAGCAGCCTGTGTTGCCCTCCAAAGTCAAAGTCAAAGGCGGCTGATACCCCAGGGAAGCCTTGAACGATGAGAGCCCTGTAGCTAGCTGGGAACTCCACGTGGAAGGATTGGAGGACACCACACACCGAAGGGAGGCTCCCAGCTCGCTGCTGGTCTGCAGGTAAAAACCAGAGGAAAGACTAGCCAGGGGTCCCGGGACAGTGCAAAACTCTTTCCATATACTGGAGGTGAACTGAGGACCACAATCCGACACGATATCGATGGTTGTTGGTGTGAGACAATCCTTTATCATCTGGATCTTTGCTGGGGCAGCCCTAATTTGTCCTTTCTCAACAATGTAGCTTAAAAAGGAGACGGAGTCAACATGAAACTTTCCCTCCACAGACAGGTTATCTAGGAGATGTTGCAGCACCAAACGGATATGTGACTCGTGTAAAGAAAGAGATTTGGGGTAAATCAGAATGTCATCTAAATAAATGAAAACAAACCTATTGAGGTAGCGTCTTAGCACGTGGTTGAGCAGGGCTTGGAAAACGCTCACCAGCTGAGCTTCCTGTTGGACAAGAGAGTGCTGAACGGAGTCCAAGCACTCTGTCATAACCTTTGAGCAGACGGACTCAAAAGCGAGACCCAGGATGCCAGTTCAGCGAATTTATTTACAGTGGAGTGCAGGTACTATTTACAGTGTCTATCAAAAGGGGAAAAATCCATTTACAACAGTCCGGTAGATTTATCCTCCGTCTTCAAACAGGACAATGAAATGGAAACCTCTCCCCTCTCTCCTCTCAACAAAACCCTCCACGAGTCAAACATATCAGTCTCCTGGACAGACGAGAGGATGGATGAGGAAAAGGGGAACATGGAAATAGGTGGTTTAACGCTCAAGCGATGGCTGAAAGAACGTCCTCTGTATTTAAAGGAACGTCAGATGAGGAACAGGTGAGTTGATTACTGCAGGTGTGTCACTGGTCAGAGGGAGGAGCCCCGGGGGGATCGTGGCCCTGAAAGATGTGGTGTGGTTATCGCACATACACAGAGAGAAAAGAGAGAGCCGAGGGAGAGATGGCGGGAGTACCAGGAGGAATGGATGATCATGACAACTCAACTGCATTAAATTAAATGTTTCCTTCTGAGAGCAAAACTCGTGTAATACACATGGAAATAACTACAGCAATTTATGTGTACCCACCATTCATCCTTAAGGTTTTACATTTCCAGCTGTGTTTGTGTGTCTGCAGAGCAGCATCAGTTCCAGTTGAGGTGCCACATGTATCAGGCTCGTGGTCTGATCGCTGCTGACAACACTGGCCTGTCAGATCCCTTTGCTCGAGTCACCTTTCAGTCACACAGTCAAACCACCAATGTAAGTGTGTGTGTGTGTGTGTGTGTTTGTGTGTGTAGAAAAAAAAATTAAAGGAACACTTAGAAAAAAGATTCCCGCTGGGAAAAAATAATGTGGTATCTATACTAATATGCACTGGGTAATGTGTTAAGCTGGGCTCACACTCTGCGATTTTTGGCCCATTTTGAGCCGATTTTTGAGTCGTGCGACCGTTTTGGCGATCGGCCCGGTTTTGGCCTTCATCGTGCGTCGTGCATCGTGTAGTATATGCAGTGTTGGGGAGTAACGGAATACATGTACCGCCGTTACGTATTTAAAATACAAAATATGAGTAACTGTATTCCGTTACAGTTACCGTTTAAAAAGG